CCATCGGCATGTCCACACGACAAGTCGTCCCTCCCTCACCCTGCTTTCCCCTGTCTTTGGTATCCTGCGCGCAGCCCCCACCACAAGGACACCGGCTTATGGTGATGGCAACCACGGCCGTACCCTACCTCTTGGAAGAACTGATGCTGGTGCAGGCTTTCATGGTGTCGCTGCACGTGCCGCAGCTGCAGGGAGGGGGCAGTGTCAAGACCGTTCTGAGAAAACTCGTGCCCATGTCCCAGGTAAGGAGGAAGGGTTTTGCTCTGTTCGGACACGCGGCGGGCGGCGCGGCGCCAAAGTAGCGAGGCGGGAGGCGGGGGGGGGAGGGCTCCACAGGCTTATCACAAAACGAGGCTGTGTTCTGGCTCGCCGATGTACCGGGCCACGCCACCCTCTGTAGGGACGTCACGTACAAGAACATGTGCAGCAGCACAGCAGTGGTTGTGCTGCCACAACGCTTTGCGGGGACGGCGTGACCGGGGTGAAGACGCCGCCCTTCGCTCAATTTGGTGTCGCCGCAGGCAGCACGGCGACACCACAGGCCGTGATGCATACCCCACAGCAGCAGCAGCAGCCTGAACTGCTGCACCACACACGTCGCTGCCTCGAGCGCAAGCCGTCGAGCCAGCAAGCCCAACCGCCCGTCATGCCCACATGCGGCGAGTACACCACGCGGGCCCAGCCGCGGCGGCGGGCTGAGATGGCCGCCCAGGAGCCGATCTTCCTCAGGAAGACGTTCGAGATGGTGTCCGCGTGCAGCAAGAGCGACGGTGAAAATCTGGCGTGCTGGAGCCCTACCGGGGAGACCTTTATCGTCAAGCACCCGGACGCCTTCTCCAGTGTCGTCATCCCGAAGTTTTTCAAGCGTGAGTGTGCAGCAGCTGTTGCTAATGATCTACCCGCCGATCCCCGGCTCTCGGCGTTCGTGGCGAAATTTTGAAAATCGAGACAGCCGGTGTCCAATACGGACGGATATTTTCATGGGGTGCGTACCAACGACTGCAAACATGGCAAGGTCGGTGCTCACCCGTCTCCTCACGGAACACTTTCGATGACAGCCTGTACCCACATAACTTTTCCTACACGTGACCTACTCCTCTGCGTGCTTCTTCTTATCCACACTGACAGCTCCGAACCCAACCAGCAAACAGCAGCAGCAAATTCGTGGGCAAACTGCGCACCTTCCACCGCACGACGAGGTTGTTGGGGTCGGGCGCCTGGTCAAGGTTCTTGACGTCCACCTCCCGCTCGAAGGCGTACGACGCGGCGCTCTTCACCAGACCCTCGATCTCCGCCCCCGAGAAGTTCTTCGTCAACCTCGACAGCTCCTCCATGTTATCGGCCGTCTCCTTGTCCAAGCGGCCCCTCTCTTTCTGTCGTTTCGGCGGCGGCGGCGGCGGCGACGGCGGCGGTGGGTTCGGGGAAGCAGATTTGGTCGAGGGAGCTCACGATTTCGATCCTCGTCAGATACCACCCACCTGACTGCTATATCGTAGCTGGGCCACCCAATCAACGAGAGACAAGGCACACCGTTCAACCCGCGCTCGAGGTACCTACGACATGTTCCGTGATGCCAGCAATACTGCTGTACCCCAGGTGACAAAAAACAAAACTTGTTCCAGGCGGGGTAAGGTATCTACTGCCTGAAATGTAGGCGAGGTTCTTCATCATCGCCCTGGCGATATTGTACCCCATTCCGCACTCTTGTGCCTAGTCGAAGCATCTGAGCATTTCACATCGTGCATATTGCTGCCGGTCGCCCCGGTGGTCTAGTTGGTAGCCTCGTAACCTTCTAGAGGTCAGGTCAGGGTTTCGAATCCCGGCGTAGGCGAGCTTTTCTTGCAAAGTGAGTTTTTCTCTCGCTTCTGCTCCTGGCCAAGTGGATAGCGCTAGTTCGTGCGTACACAGAGGGAAGAGAGTGCTGAACTCTTCTCGCATCAAAAATTGAAGGCGAAGTACCGCAGGAGGGGAGAGTAGAGAGAGGCTCTTCTGTGTGACCACGGGTTGGAATAAACGGCACTAGTGCTGTGAGCGCTGATTTGAAGTGAAGAACAAAAAAAATATATATATTGCACTGACTCCTAGAAGGAGAGGCGCCCAGATCAGATTTCTGTGCATGCCTTCCTCCCGACATGTCATGTCTTGCCGGCTCGACGCCCACACCTTTGTCGTGCCTTCCCCCATCTCCCACAAGTAAAAGGTGGGGTTCGGTTCGGTACCAAAACCTCGCAACAAGACAAAGCAGCCTCCGAGTAAGCGAGCGTGGCGGCGGCGAAGCACATCCTACTGGCGCCTATAGAAGACTCGCCCCCACAAGTATCGACCTCGTCGAGATATCAAAGCTCTTATCGCCCTCGCCCCCCCAAGCAACGAGCTCGGCGATAAATCAGTCTCTCACCATCCCGCGAGTGTGGATCTGCAGGATCTGGAGCCGCCCCGCCTCGTCCGGGAGGCCAATCTCCACGTGCACCTCCAGACGCCCGGGCCGCAGCAGCGCATCGTCGATCATGTCCTGCGGAACAATAACAAAAAAAGACAGGGAAAACATGAAAATACTTGAATGGACGAACATATGTATCCGAACAGGTGGCGCGTGAAGTGAGTCTTTGTGGGTGGGCTGGCGCGGGGGGGGTTAGCAGGAAAGAAGAGAGGCTGTGCAATCCTAGACAGTCGGGTTTTGATCGCGTGTTGGAGCGCTCCGTTGCACAAAAGTAGCCGCTCCGCCGCTTTTCGGTGAACAAGAGAGCAGATCCTGCTATTGTTATAGTCGACAAGGCAGGGCCAAGGCGCACGATTGCTCTCCGACAGTAGTGGTAATAATAATACGCACCTTGCGGTTGGTCATCCCGATGATGAGAACGTTGTTGAGGGAGTCGACGCCGTCGATCTTGGAGAGGAGCTGGTTCACCACCGAGTCCGACACGCCGGTGCCGTCCCTGACGGTCCCTCTGGTCTTGCAGATGGCGTCGATCTCGTCGAAAATGACGATGTGGAGCATGCTGGCCTCGCCCTGGTCCGCCTGTGGGGACGCGGAATAAAAGGCTTCCACGGGAGGGGGGGGGGGGGGGGGGCGACGACGTCGTGAGCTTTGGTCCAGAAAACGAGGCAGTGAGAGAGCACAGCAGAGTCGGGAAAAGCGCGACTATAGAAAGAAAGGCAGAGAAATTTCCAGACGGGTGCGGGGAGAGGAAAAAAGAGCGAAGCGAAAACAAGCCTAGAGAACCTCACCAGCTTAACAAAAGCCACCAATGCACAGAAGGGGGGAAGGGTGGCGACAACAAAAAAACAAAGGCGACGAACAAAACTCAGCAAACACTTGACAACAAAATCTACGTGCAACGGTCCTGAAAGAAAGAGCACACGCCAAGCATACAAACGCGGAGCACAGCAGGGACTGAGTGTACCCTGTCGTTGAACCTCCTCCGTGTCCCCGCCGGGCAAGGGGGTCTGCGGACGAGAAATCGTGGTGTTCGTGATTTTGGTCCCGCTTACATATCAGACTGACTCATGCCTGTTCGTTGGCGGATAGCGCGGTCGATGCCGACAAACTAAAGTAGAAACACGCCGCCTAGTCTACCGACTCTCTCTCTCTCTCTCTCTCTCTCTCTCTCTCTCTCTCTCTCTCTCTCGCCTGCTCCTTCTCCGCGTCGGCGAACAGGGCCCTGATCTTCTCCTCCGAGCCGCCGACGAACTTGTCCAGCACCTCGGGACCGTTCACGATCTTGGGCTCGCGGGCGTTCAGCACCTTCCCGATCTGCCTCGCGATCAGGGTCTTACCGCACCCGGGGGGGCCGTAGAGCAGCATGCCCCGCACGTGGCTGATGCCCATCTCCCTCACCACCGCAGAGTTGAAGATCCGGCTCGCGAACGCCCGCCTGAATATCTGGCTGAACTCCTTCCCGAGACCTCCGATGCCGAGCTTGGCGAAGTCGAAGTCCGCCCGGAATATGATGTTCTGCCCCCCCGGTCCCGTCTGCCCCTCCAGGTTCACCATGGACCCGGGGGGCTTGGTCCACCCGATGTCGGTCTGGTTGTTGAGCATGCCGTGCGTGTTCTGGTGCGTGCTGGTGAACCCTTGCCCCTCGCGGCCGTCGATGGTGGCCACCTCCACGCTCTGCACCACGATCTCGAGCTTGGAGCCTTCGAACGTCATCGCCAGGACTTGGTTGGGGGTGAATACCTGCGGGTCGGTTTCCAACAACAACAGGATGACGAATTTCAGGCTAGTGTGCATGTAGGACACGTGAGGTCTCCACGTTCGTTGGCGTTCTTAAAAATCGCGTCTCGAAACGCCTCGAAGGAACTAGAGAAACAGAAGAGGAGGGGAAATTTTGCAAAGCTGTTGGCCCTTCGAGGCACCGCTGTAACCCCTCGTCAGCCCTGTCTCGCGGGCTGCCTTGCCTCGGACCACAGACGGAGGCGTGTGAAAATACGGGCGGGGCAAAATGTCTACTCGCGTCGCGTGGAGCCAAGTTTATTCTCAGCAAGCACACTCCGTGTAAGGTGCTCGAGTGGTATACACATGCACATGTACCTGATGGCTGAAGTTGACCTTGAAGGCGTCCGAAAGCTTCGATGTGTCCACCTACGAAGCAATACACAAATCGAGAAAAAACAAGGTTTCGGTCGTTAGCTGGGCGCACCCAAGCACGCACGCTACAGTACTGCTGCAGTGCAAGTGTGCTCCGCGCGGAGCTACTTGCCGCAGAGCAAGACGCCTTCCTTCAGCCGGACGAAGACGACTCGAAGGGACCCACTCAAACGTAGCATGGTGCAAGCACAGCCATTGGCATAGTATCCATCTGCACTAGGATTGGACTGGGACAGAGAGTTGGAGACGAGGGTCAACGAGTGCTCCCGTAATGGGACACGGGCGTGGAAAAGCAGGTGCAGTTGAGAACAAGGGACAAGATGGCGTGGCCACAGGGAGGAGCGAGAACGAGAAAGACAGCTTGAAGAATCACTGCACGCCTATAGCTCTGCGGCGATGGTGGATGCGCACAGGTCAGGAGAGAACGGAAACCGACAAGAACGAGATTTGAAAGTTGTTGCACCAAAGCCCGTGACACCTTGACTGGAAGACAAAGACAAAAAAAGAGCTATGCATACAAGTCCATCCCAAAAAAAGACCCCACCCCAAAAGGCCCCTCAGCGAACGTAAGAAAAAAATGGCGCCTTTCACACGAGACCTAAAACCTCCCCCATCCCAGCGCTCACCAACACCGCTACTACCAATAACAAAGCCAGTTCCACCACGTCCACCGCCAACACAGACTACCGGCCCACACACAAACACCTAAATACCTGCTTCGGCTTCCCCTTGCCCTTCACCATCAGGTCCGCCATCAGGTTTATCGCCACCATGGTGATGTTCCCGACTTTCTCCGGGAAGGGGTACACCGGGATGACGGTGTTGAGGGCCAGGTTGGCCGTGCGCCGCTGCATGCGGTTGAGGCCAATCCTGCCACCCAAGATACCATCGTGCGGGCTTTTTTCGCGTGCGCGCCATATGTAGAAAGAGGCCCGGAAGAAGCACGCCATGCAAGCATTGCATCATCCGTAGCAACACACCATCGGTTGCGTGGCGGTCACCCGTCGTGCACCCATCGAGCGAGCACGACAAAAGCGGACGAGAGCGGCGGCGGCGGCGGCGGCGGCGGCGGCGGCGGGAGGGGGTCGAATTGAGTTTGGGAGGGCTTCGACTGGTACAGGCAAGGTGCAGGCTACTGGTTCTGCCGTTCTCCCGAGCAATCAAGCTATACGTAGTGTTGCGCCGAGAAGGCATCCAATCCAAGTGTTGGCGGTCTGTCGACAACGACCGACATGTGAGGGCACACAAGCACAACAGCAGTAGGCCCCACCACACCCCGGCGTTGGCAAAGATACATGGTGTTCGTGACTGACTTCCGGAACTTGCATCACACACGAGTTACAAGCGGGGCGGCGTAACACGGTTCGTTGCCGGACTAACAACGTCAATCGTTATTGTTCAGGCCGTGTCCTGGACGCGCCCTCTTTTCGATCCAGAGCACTGGGAACGAATTGAATTGACCCACACGGCTGCCAACTTCCGGTGCACGAGGCAGCGCCCACTTCGAGCAAGGGGTAAGGGCCGACTTAGCCGTGGCCCTGAGCAGAGCAGCAGCAATTCTATCGCAGTACTTGTACTCTCCCGCCGGGTTGATGAAGTTGCACCATCAGCCAGGCCTATGACCTATAGATAGTCGGTGCACTTTGATCTACAGCATTAGTGACAACGCGATTCCGCCCGACAGTAGTCCCCCTCCCCCCCTGTCATGCGACGGAAGACGGGGGTGGGCGTGCGGGTTTGAAAAAGAAGGCGTTCCTTCGTTCGTTCGCAGCTCTTGACATGCAGGCGTACCTGGCGGTGAAGACCCAGTCGCCAACCGAGACGAGCGTGTCCTTGGAGTTGTGGGAATGGCGGTCTGTGTTGCCCGTCGGGGAGTTGTTCCAGAGGACCTCGAAATCTCCGGAAGACAGGAACACCCTTCACGTGTTTGGTGATGGGAAGCGGGTGGTAAGTGGCATGGATTTTGGGTGATTCCCATGTGTGTGGGGTGTCGCGGGAGGCGTTGGTACGCCGGCGCGAAGAAGCGAAGGTGGGGGGGAGCATGGGTTGGAAAAAAGAACACCATCATCAGTATTACAGCAGCATGGGCTTTTCCGTATGTAGCTTGGAGATGAGCAGCTGTCCACAGGAGGTGACCAAGACATGCTATTCCCGTCATCCCGTCACCAGGGTGTACGGCTATCGCTGGTGTGCGGCGGCAACAGCGGCACAGACACGAATGACTCATGTTGCTGGCATACGCGCAGCTAAGCTGTACCATATGCTACACACGGCGGCGGTAGGCGAATTGCGAAAGAGAGGACACACCGAAGCAGCAGGTTGTGAAAGAGAGCAAACTAAACATTGCCATCGTTTCGACAAAATCGCCGGAAGAAGTGCACACATGTTTGCAAAAGTCGTTGCGGAGTGCCCATAATCAAACTCTGCTGTAGGTGTTGCGGTACTTGTAGCAATGACAGCAGGATTCTCCGCTCTTCGAACAACGCGACATCGCACTCCTCAGCATTCATTACGAAGAAGTACGATAACTCTTAACAAAAGGCCACGTCCATCAAGAATCTGCCCGTTGAAAGGTTTGTTGAGACGATGGTAACGTGCTGTTGCGCTATTCATCATCTCCCCTGAGCAGGCACGGCATACGCAGTGCTCGCTGCTGCCTACAGATGCAGACGGCGACCGACACACGCGGGCACGGGAACTCTTCTTTGCTCCGCACCGTACATGTCGCTTCTTCACTCTCCGGAGGCACACCGCCGCGTCTAAACAAAATTCAAGCTGGGCACCAAAAGAGAGGACTCACTTGTTTCCGAAGGTTAGGTTGTTGGCAGGAGTGCTGTCAACGGCGAGAGAGAGGGAGAGGTCCGCCATCGCGCAAAGGTCAGACGCCGACGCCGGGGGTGCTGTCTCCGCTTGTCACGCCGCCTTTCCTGTTCGACCGCTTTCGTTTCCTAGCGCCGTTCTGCTTTTCTTCACGCTCCCCAACACACAACAAACGGCAGGACAACAGCACCGCTGTGTCACAATCCACTGATCAATCACCGAGAGAGAGAGAGAGCGAGAGGAGAAACCAACCTCACACGCCAAAGCGATCTGCAAAGGGAGGGTTTTGGGAGCAGATCATTCCCTCTTCGGCAAATTACACCGAGGGGTACTCCGTGTATGTATTCCGCGTGCCCCCCTCTCAAGACCTCTGCTGCCTGCACACCCCAACCCACCCACATCCAGGGGGAAGAGACAAGCTCTCACTAGAGAGAGACACACACAGACAGCGCAAACATGGTTCTCCAGGAGCTTGGGAGCAAGCTTACCTCGGCCCTGCGGCGGCTGCACACGGACACGGTCGTGGACAGGGAGACCGTCAAGGCCGTCGTCGGCGACATCTGCCGGGCCCTGCTCGAGTCCGACGTGAACGTGCAGATGGTCATGAAGCTCCGGAAGAACGTGGAGGCGAAGGCCGAGAGCCTCGTGGCGGAGCAACAGGACGGGGGCGCGGGCGGCGGCGTGGGCGCCGCACAGCAGCGGCGATCCATCCAGAAGGCCGTGGTGGACGAGCTGACGGGCATGCTCGACCCCAAGACCGCGCCCTACAAGATGAGGAAGGGCAGGAGCAACGTCGTGATGTTCGTGGGCCTACAGGTGCGTTGGAAAAGCAGAGGCCGGGTGTGTGTCGAGAGGGGGCAGGTGCTGCCCTGTGGTTACGTTGCTGCTGTTACCTTACGTGCATTCAGTGAGCAGTGTGCTTCGAGTCTGCAAACGTAGCTGCTAGACGGCGGGATCTAGAAAATACACATGGCGTCGGCGGACACGTGGTCTAATGGTTCTCGCCTCTTGACGATCCTCGGGTGGCTCGGGTGGAGGGAGCTGTTGTATGCGTATGTACTGCTGCAGGTACGCTGTAACTAGAGCTGTAGCGATAGGGAGTGGTATTGGACGTCAACAGCTGGCGCGTAAAATCCGGTTTGCATCGCGAGAGGGGTGTCATGATGTTTTGATGCGTGTGATAGAGGACCCCGCTGTGTCACGAAGGATTCCGTACGAGAACTCCAGCGCTGCTTGCTGCTTACTTTCGGGAAACCGCGGGGGTACAGTGGTACTACTGCTGTTCGTGAAACGCGAGGTTAGGGTTTTTGAGGCAGCGTGCACGGGCGCCAACTTCGGAATTGGTACACCACACCACATCGCATACCGCACACTTTGCATCATGTCTTTTGTTTCACTGTTTCAGCCGCACACTCAAGGGGAAATGACGATAACTCAATATTCGAGAGGCGTTTCGCAGAATCTTCCGCGACCCGTTCCCCACTCCCTCCCTCCCTGGTGCAAACCGGCGCAACTTCGTGTGACCCGCGCTCTTCGGAGACGGTTTTGCGCGGTTTTGCGTCGGTTTGTTCTTCCGGTGGGGGGGGGGGAAAGCCCGATCGGTCGCTCGAAAGAACAAAACGAAGAAACGGGTTCTTTTGCTGTGGCACGAAGATGTCTGTTCTTTTTGTTTGTTGGTTTTTGCTGGGGGAGCCGGAGTGGCGACCGGTTCCCGCTCCGGGAGGTTTTCCTCAAGAACGGCGTGTGCCTTCCTGCTTGCCTTTCTTTCCCCCCGTGGTGCACTTGTTGCGCGCGGGGGGCGTGATGGGGGCGGGGGTAGGGGGGCATACGTTTGTTTTGTTGGCGTGATTTCCGACCCGGGGCTGGCGGCCACCGCCCACCCGAGGGGTTTCCTGCACTAGCGTGCAAGCCGTAGATATTCGGGCCCTTTGTAAAGGCGGTGGTACATGTGTATACGGGGTGTGCTCTGGTATCGGCGCGCTCTTTTCCTCCTCTCCCCGTTTTTTTTTCGGAGGGGGCGAGGGGAGAGTGGGAGCCCCCCGGCGTCGTGCCTTTAGGCCTCACAGATTTTTGTGGAGACTATCCTGTGGCGGTAAATAGCCGACGTACATGGAAGGAGAAAGCCACTGATGGAAATGCTGCAAGCAACTTCAGCCGAATTCCCCGCCCCTCTGTTGCGGAGGGGGGGGTGGCTTTTTTGTTTGTTGCTGCTGCTTTCCTGAGGCTTGTTCTTCGATCAAAAGAACTAAACGCCTTTGTTAGGTTTTTGGTGGGGAGACTTGGCTACGGCGGCGAGACATGGAAGGCGAGGACGGGGAGGCTCGTTCCTCTCAGTTCGGACCTCCCATCCCTCCCACACGTGCCCCCTCGAACCGACATTAACCTTGAATCCTCCTGGCAGAGGAGAGGGTTCCTTTTTTCTCTCCCCTCCTTCTTTTTGAGGGAGAGAGAGAGGGAGGGAGGCCTTTCCTTCGCCGCTATAGGGAGGGGTGCCCCTGCTTCGTTCCCGCGGCAATAAAAACCTCCCGTTTGCTTGTGGCGACGTTGCGATCATGGGGCGCAAATTTTACGGCCTCCGGCGAGCGACCAATGTGTGGCGGGGTTCTGGTTTTGTTGCGGCAGCATTATTCTGTGGGCGCGATTGCAGGACGACTTTTTGAACATCATTAGTAATCTGATCCCCGATGTACGCGTGGAAAGTATTGGCATCCATCCCTGTCAAAAAAGTTCCACGCACAACAATGATTGTGTGTACGGCTGGCTGAATCGAAAAGCGGTGTGGAAAGAAACGATGCGGTGTGAGCGTTTTAGGTGGTGTGGTGGTGGCATGTGTGTGGTGTGGTGGTGCTTGTTTCCCCTTGGGAGAGCCTTGTGGCGGCGGGCAGAGAAAGGCGTGCCCTGTGTTGTTTGAGGGGACGTCGGTTGATCGGGCGGGGCCGTGAAGGGGGCTGTGGTCGAGAGAGAGAGAGAGAGAGAGAGAGAGAGAGAGGATAGATCATGGATGGCCCAGAACTGCTTTCAGCCGTAGTGCCTCTGTCTCCCTGGGGATATCGAGGACGGCTAGGTTGCAGAGGAATCGTTCGTGGGAGGGCAGGGGGCGACGTCGAAGACGACACGGACTAGTAGTAAGATGGTTTCACACAACCTGGAGTGCCATCTGCATGTACCACGTAAACAACAATTGTGGCTCATGCATGCAAATGCACATGCACTCTCGGAGGTGTAGGGATGACCGCATCAGCTTGGGTTTGCTCGTCTACAGTATCAGTCGGGATCAGCGTCTCGCCTTGCTAAACCGCCCCCACCCCCCACCCCCATCCGCGTGACCCTATCCGCGCTTGCTCGTTGGCCTCGCATCCGTGTGATCCCCCCCCCCCCCCCTCCGCCCGCCCCCTCCCGTCTACGTACCTTTTTCTCGCCCAATGGCGTGTTTCGGGCGGGGATGGTTCGTGGCTGCGGTGCGCGGGGTCGGGGTGTGGTTTTGTGCGGAAATATTCATACCACGTACCTTTGTGTACGTGTTTGATTTTGTCCTGGTTGGTGGCACCCCGTCACTTTCCCCAACACAGGGAGCGGGTAAGACGACCACGATAGCCAAGTTCGCGCACTACTGGCAGCGCAAGGGGTGGAAGGTGGCGATGGTCTGCGCCGACACGTTCCGAGCGGGCGCCTTCGACCAGCTCAAGCAGAACGCGACCAAGCTGCGGGTGAGAGAGACTAGAGAGAGAGAGAGAGAGAGAGAGAGAGATACTTTGTGCTGATTCCCTTTCCTCCGTTTCTCACCTCCCCCCCCCCCCCGCCCGCCTGCCCATCTTCTTTCCCCCCGCTCCCCCGCCCCCGCCCCCCCTTGACCTTCCCGCTCGCCCTTGGCCCCATTCCACACGATCCGCAACGAAACGTGTCGTCTCGTCGACCTTTTTTACCGGCATCATCTACAACGAACGTCTCTCGTGTCACGTGTGACGTCACGTGTGATGTGACCCATGACGTGCAGTGTCCGTTCTACGGGAGCTACTCCGAGGCGGATCCAGTCCGCATCGCCGACGAGGGCGTGCAACAGTTCAAGCAGGAAAAGTACGAGGTAAGGGAAAACGGGTCGTGGGAGGGGGGCGGTGGGCGTGGGACTCCCTCGTTTCGCTTGCGGTGTATATTTGGCCATCCCCCCTCCGTCACGATGCAGCACGGGTGATGACGTACTTCTACGTCACGTTCGGGAGGATGGTTACGGTTTCCGCGTTCGCTCCCTTACCGTGAAGACGGTCCCGTCTTTGCACCGACTGCACCAAGTAGCTGTCGCCACTGCTGCCTTTTGGGATGCACACACCAACCTCTCATCTCATGTATCTCGTCATTCTCCCTGTGGCTTTTCGTGTTGTGGTGTTCTGGTTCTTGCCCCAAGGATTTGGCATGGTCGTCCCGACTTTGGTGGGTGTGTTGAAAGGCATAATATCCTTGCTTTCTGGTGCACGTTTTTGCTCGCGTCTCGTTTCTTTGCCTCCTCCCACCTCTATGTGTGTCTCTACTGTAACTCCTTGATTTGCCCTGCCCCTCCCCGGTTAAATCGACATTGGCATGGCAAGGTGATCATCGTGGACACGTCCGGGAGGCACAAGCAAGAAGACGCGCTGTTCGACGAGATGAAGGAGATCCAGGAGGCCGTGCAGCCCGACAACACGACTCTAATCATGGACGCCACGCAGGGGCAGGCGGTTTTCGACCAGGCGAAGGCCTTTCACGGTAAGTTGTGCCTTCATGTTCGTAAGTTGTCGAGGAAAGAGGGCGGTTCGAAAGCTGGTTTCTTCGCTGTTGCGCGTTGTGGGTGGGTGCCTACTAGGGCGTGTCAGCAGTGATGCATTCCATCCACTGTTGCTGGTGCGGCTGTTGTTGGGTTATCTTGACTCAGGGTCTCTCCGCCTTCTCTTCCGTTCACGGGACGCACCGTCCATTTCAACACAACAAGCAGAGGGGGTGATGTTTCCTTGCTTCTAACTCGTGGTAATCTTCGTAGGCTGTGGTTTGCTTGTGGTCTTCCGAACTCTTTTTACTTGCTGTCACTTCACTTTTTCTCGTCGTTCACTGACGCTATCTCTCTCGTCCCACATCTAATCTCTCATGTCGCATTTTGGACACCCTCGACGTGGATCACGTTTTTCTCCAGAGGCTGTCGCGGTCGGATCGGTTATTATCACCAAGCTCGACGGTCACGCCAAGGGTGGCGGGGCACTGAGCGCGGTGGCGGCGACGAACAGCCCCATCACCTTCCTCGGGGGCGGCGAGCACTTCGACGACCTCGTGAGTCTTTCGCCGGCCCGCCCCCCCCCCCCGCCCCCCCCCCCGCCCCCGGAGGCCGCGCCCCCCCCCCGCTGGTGGCGCGGGATAAGGTGTTGGGCTCATGGCCGGACCCTCCAGGCCGTGTCTTAGAGGGGCGCGCATCAACCTTGGTGTGGGCGCCTCTCTGTGCGATTGTCCTGCGGGCCCCTCCG